AGGTCTCACCATACTTCAGACCAACCAGCCCTTCCTCTTCTTTCTCTCATCTCCAGGTTGATGGGAGTCTATGGAATGTGGTCAAACTCAGCTCATATTTTCATCACTGCCTTTCCTCCTCTTCCACTCAGCAGTAGATCAACGTGGTCTCCAGCAAACTTACATACCTGCTCACGTGTTCCCTTTGAGTTTCAGCCTTGGAGGGTTACAATGGCTTATTAAAATGATATTATTTTGCTTTAATAAAATGTCAGAGGGCTGAAATAATAATTCAGAAAGAGCAGTCGACTATTTTGCAGTCATCTATTTTGAAAACCAGGAAGCAGCAGGAGAGTAGTAATTTGATTTGTTGTGCATGTCTTGCTTCAGTTCCACAAACTGAGACTTTAATTCCATAAAGTGATATTAGGCAGGGCAGGATTCCCACACAATTTATTACCCTTGCTCTCATGGCTAGAGCAAAATTTTGGAAATAAGCAAGTGATTCTAAATCTTCAAAAGGTGCCTGGCCTTGTTGAAAGGGGGAAAGTGTAGGAATCATAGTACATGGGTACCCACCCAATTGATAGGTGTCAGAAGAAGTATGTCTATTAATACAAAGGGAATAACAAATGTAGAAAAAGTGACTTGTCTCTTTACATTCAGAGATGGTAGGATTAACATGTGATTTAGTTTGTACGCTATGGGTTGGAACCGACTCGACGACACTTAACAACAACAACAACTTTGTAAACAAACATGTATTCCTCATAAAGATCAAGCGTATGGAAAGCTCTGCAGATGTTAAGAGGATCTAGCTGGGAAATAGGATTTGCCATATAAATTACTTTATACAGTTAACTTTGGACAATGTTTCATTGACAATGATTTGCCAAAAAGAAACTCTTCTAAGTAAAAGACAATGACTTTTTAATCTGACATTATTATTATCATCATATTTTACTTGTTATTACTTTTCTTGAAAATTGTGCGTAGTGCTTTTATTTCAGATACCCGATTTTGTTGGATCAGCATTGGACTGCTAACTACAAGGTCGGTGGTTAAAACCTACCACCCATTCCCTAGGAGAAAGATGAGATTATCTAATTGGGTCGCTATAAATTAGAAGAATGGTGATGGCAGTGGGTTTGGTTTTGTTTTGTTTGTAGATTTAGATTACGAGCTTCTTTTAAAAATCTCATTGTTTGTCCTGATATACATAGCCCTGATCTGAGGGGGCTGCCAAGAGTTCATGGAAAATTTCCCATTATCTTTCTATCCCAGAAGGGCCCAGTGCTGGGTTTAGAGGTTGTAAAGGATAAAGAAACGTATTCTCAACCCAGTGCTGTCCCCAGCCCTGGAAAACAAACAAAGGACCCCCACCCTCACCCCACTATCTGTTACTCTAGTATTTTATCTTAACATATTCTTAGTTCCAAAGCTTAAACAAGGATGCTTGGGATATTGCTATTTATAAAGGAAGGATTACTCTTGCTTTTCTCCAGTTTATAGAACTTTAAGGTTTCAAAACCGGTTTATCCCTAGATCTAGTATAAATTCTTCTGAAGAAGTCAAAACTCTTATTTGATTTTTATGCCTTACTTTTAGATTGTTGCAAGATTTCCTAAGTCCAAGAATATCTAAGTGAAATGTTGGTTACCAGGTAGACTGCTTTGGTGTGAATTCCACACCAACCTGATTAATTAACCCAATGTTGATAAAATTGGAAAAAATCAAACATTCACATTTATTTGGGTTAGGTGGAATAAAAATTTTCTCTGGTCAAAGGAAATATAATTCAATGGTCAACATAGCATAGTTAACTGGAACCAGACTTCCAGGTATAAACCTTACTTTGCACATATTTGCTCTGTGACCTTGGATGAGTTACTGAGCTACTCTGTGCCTAAATCTTTTTATTTGCAAAGTGTTCCTAATAACAACATCCAATCTTACTAGGTTGTTTTGAGGATTAAATGGGTTAATGTTGGCAAGCTAGCTAGAACAACAGGTGCCATAAAAGCACCATATGAGCACATTTTTATCTTCACAGGGGAAGGTAGAGTGCTCTAGTGGTTCCTGGTCAATGTGAGTCTGATTCTTAACAAGGCTTTTTATTTCAGGGTGGATTAGGTCTTCCTTTTTGCTTTTTATTTGGAAAAAAGTGTTCTAAAATTATGAACATAACTTGCTTTAAAATTTACCTTTTGGTTAAAGTGAGATTGGTTGAATATGGGCGTTTAGAGACAAGTTATTGAAAGGAGTTTTACATTTTACTCTATTTAGAATGTTGCTGTTTAAGTGCTGTGTAGTCAATTCTGACTCATAGGGACTCTGTATAGGGTTTCTGAGGAGGAGCTGGTTGATTTGAACTGCCCACCTTGTGGTTTACAGGCCAGTGCTGATCCTCCAGCACCACACCAATTAGAGTACTTACCCTTTAAATTCAATGGCTGGCTCCAGCGTACCTAATCATCTCTTATTTCCTTCCTTTAAGTGTAGATGAAATCTAGTGACTGGGAGAGTTTGTGAATATAGACTGCTTTCTTAAAATAAACTTAAGTGCATGGTCTATATGAATCAAGGCACCTGCAGTTATTTCAGACCTGACCTAGCCCTTTTCACCAGCCGTTTGTTTTGAAACAGCACGTACTCCCTTTGTAACAGAATGAATGACAGGCTTCTGACATCAGAGGCGCATGGTGGCTGATTGCTAAGAGGCCACCCAACAATGAGTGTCAGTTTGTTTTTTCTAGAGAGATATTTCCAAACAGTTGTCATTTGGGAGTTATAACAGGCATGAAAGTTACTTTTGAAAAGATGAATTTGACGAATGCACTATGGTACATCTAGCAACAAATTGAATAAATTGAGTTTGATATGTTACCTTAGATAACCTAGTGATTAGGGAGATCAAGTGTGAGAAAATAATTATAGTTACTTGTAAAATTTCCACTATCAGTTTCATTGTGTGTGTCTGCATATGTGTGTATGTATGTGTGAGAGAAATTTCCTTTTAAATAATTGGCTTTGAGGTGTTTTAAGTTGTCTATTTTATGTTGTGTTTGTGTATTTTAGCAAAAACAATACACAGCCTCAAAATTTGAATTAGAATAAAATTTCATAAGAAATAGCATGAATTACATATATTTAAAAAATTTCTGAGACTTTTCATATATATAGCCCAAAAGTATGTCTTTCTTAGTCCCATATTAATATGAAGCTATTTGTAAGTAAAGTGACCTTTAGATTGTTATAGTTTTCTAGTCAGAAATTAGTAGATCCAAAGGGAGACCTATGTACTGAATTTACACATGTATTACACTGCATTACTAGCAATGGACCTAATTGATAAAAGTGATTTAATATATGTTACAGTAATAGCTAAGCCTCAAAAGTCTCTAATCTCCCGTGGAAATAGTGCTCTGTAGAACAAGATCCAATGAGAAGTTCTGGGATTCCAGAGTGAATTTGTACATTCCTTAGGGGCATTTTTGCAAGGGAGGTTGTTGTGTTTTAAAGGTAGTTGATAAGAGACCTGCACCACCAACCCCAGACCTGCACCACCAACCACCATCATGCATTAGTCTATAGAAGGTATTTGGGTGTACGTACTCCTGTACCACTCGGTACCACCATTTAGCCAAGGGAAGTTTCTGACCATTTGCAGCATACATTATAAATCAGGATGTCACTACCAGACAATCAGATTTGAACATTCCATGAACAAAGTAGCCTATATCCCCTATGAATAGATCACTTAACTCTGTTTACATTATGCTGTTGATATGTCTGCATTTACACAAGTCAGGATAGCACATTGTTTATTTATTTTAGGAGTAGGTAATTGATGTGTGTATTTACTTCCTTTTGAGTGAATTAGCCAAAAATTGAAATGAGTAATTTAGCTTAAATGATTGCTTAAAAATATAGGGGAAAATACAATTATTCTAACGACCCTGATAATTATTCCTCCACTACCTTGGATTTATGAGAGAATCATTTTGAGTCTTTTTCAAGTTGTGCTGGTGTTGGCAGCTCTTTTTGGTTTAAAAAAAGAAAAGAAAAGAAAAGAAATTCTTATTTGGCACATAATGCTGAAGGAGGTCACTGGCCAGATAGTTAGGGAAGTTCAGAGGATTTCCAACTACCAAATTTGTCTCTTAGGGAAAATTGCTGAATGTATTTGCTGAATGAAATTACCTTGATAAATTATATTCTAGTTGTACCAGAAAGACGGGAATGTGGCATCCTTTCGTGTACTCTGGCTGTTTTTTTGTAATGCTGAATTTATAGAGTTGGCATCTTACACATTACAATGATTACCACGTCTGCCCCAATAAAGGCCACTTGTCCCAGCCACTCAGGGTATAATTTATTCAAGAGCTGTCACTCAAATCACCAAACCTCATTATCATAATCTCTTCTTGACACAAATATTTAAATATATACACATTTTAATTAGCAGGATAAAGGGCACTGGTGGCTCAGTGGTTAAGCGCTGGCTGGTGTGAACCTACCTACCCAGCATCTCCTCAGGAGAAAGTCTTGGCAATTTGCTTCTGTAAAGATTACAGCAAAGTAAACCTTACGGCTGCAGTTCTACTTTGTCACATGGGATTGCTAAATCGAAAGTGACTAGATAGTACTAACACCTCAATAACAAAAACAGGTTACGTATTGTCAGATGTACTTTTTAGAGTTTCAGATAGTCCCATCAATTGATAATAATCAATTATGGCTGCTCTTTTTTTGGGGGGGAGGGAGGAAATTCTAATTTAGCACATACTGCTGGGGGAGGTCACTGGCCAGATATATAAGGAAGTTTAGTATGAAATATGAAAATGACATTACTGCAGAGTCCCATTTATATTGTTATAAAACCGTTATTATAATTTCATAAATAATCAACATTCCTTGGACTAGTATTTAGTTGGATGGTTTTCTGTTTCTCAAAAAATTGTGTTTTTCAGTGAGATATCAGTGTGGCTCACTGTCTTCTCTTGTTTGCTGTATTACAGAATGTGACAGTCAGCACTTCCGCTGTGGAAATGGACGTTGTATACCGATATCCTGGAGGTGTGACGGGACAGGAGATTGTTTCGATAATGCTGACGAACTTGGCTGCCGTAAGTGGGAGGGGCCAGATTGAACTCTTGTTTTGAATAGCTAAGAGCTTCACAGTGATTTTCATCTGTAAAAGAGAAAAAGTTGAGTCCAAGTCTTTTGAGATAAAGTATTAGTAATTATGTTATTCTTTTTTAGGCACATAGCCAATTCACGTTAGTTTTATCTTACCTTTATCCCATGACCATGATATGGAAACAAATTTGGAAAAGCTTATCTAAAGCCATACAAAATTATATTTGCTTATTCACTCTGGAAATTTTGTGCACTAAGAAGAGCAAACAAAAAAATAGTACCTGAACTAAAGAAGGAATCTGTTTTTATATGATGGATTCAGTGTGGCTTAGAATTGGCTAGTGTGGTTTATACAAATTCTAGTTAAAAAATATGATTATATAGTACCTATACATTTAGCTAATTATGAGATTACTATCACATATATTTCTTTATTCTCTGAATGATATTCTGAGTTTGGTTTCAGATTTAGAAACTGAAACTTGGGAGAGGTTCAGTCATTTGCTGCTCAGTCACACAATTGCAATTTTATGCATTTTGATAGGTGAAAATGCCAAGGGCTAACATCTAAAAATTGGAGAATGATATGAAAATTGAATTATTGGCATCCTGTGGCAAAACAGAGCAATCAAAATTTGGTGTGCTGTTTGGGATGGTAATGCATTTGAAAATAGGAGTAATGAAATGGTGGAATAGTGCTTCTCAAATATTCACGTACAAATAGATACCTGGAGAGCTTGTTAAATTGCAGATTTGATTTGGTTTGTTTGAGATAAGGCCAGATATTCTGTTTTTATAAGGAGCTCTGGTAGCGTAGTGGTTACGAATCGGGCTGTGAACCTAAAGGTCAGCGGTTCGAAACTACCAGCTGCTCCGCGGGAGAAAGATGAGGCTTTCTACTCCCGCAAGGATTTACACCCTCGGAAACCCTGTACAGGGTCGCTATGGGTCGAAACCGACTCGACAGCACACAACATCAACAACATTCTGTTTTTATAAGCTCCCAGGAGATGCTTCTGGATCACCTTTTGTAGGAACAGGATGTTGTGTGCTATTTATTTGCCTCCTTGGGGCTTACTGAGTTCATTTTAGGTTGAACACTAGGAGCAAAACAGAACAATTTGGTGTGCTGTTTGGGATAACAATGCATTTGAAAATGGGAGTAATGAAAATGCTGGGGAATAGTGTTTCTCAATAGATGCCTGTTTGTTGTAGTGCTGTTGCTAAAACCGACTGTATAAAGAGCGATTATTATTTATTTGCCTTCAAATATATTGAGCAGAAGTTGATAACTATGTTTGAAAATAAGCTTTGCTTGCTGATGCTAGTATAGCAGTCTGGATGTTTGCTAGAATGAATCCTTTTCTGGTTTGTTTCAGCTCGCCAACCTTGCCAGACAGGCCAATTCCAGTGTAAGAGTACTGGGGCATGCATCCCTCAATACTGGGTGTGTGATGAGGATATGGACTGTGAAGATGGCTCAGATGAACATCAGTGCTGTAAGCATTAATAGAAGAGTCTAGTTTTGTTCCATTGCATATATAAAACCTAACCTGTCACTGATAGAAAACATAATGCAATGATTACTTTTAAACGCTGACCTGGTCCTTAAAGATAAGGGAATCTATGCAATAAGAGAATTGTAAAAGCAATGAAATAGACCTTGACGACTACTACATTCCCAGGCATTTAGGGGGTTCAAAACAGGAATTTGGAAGAACCTCTTAAACTCTACTTTCTTTGAACTTCTGGGCAAGATGGTGGAGGAGTAGGTGGATGCCCTGAGCTGAACCGCTGTAACAAACAAACACCTGGAGACAGATACACATAGAGGATAGAACAACAGAGGTGGATTGAGTGCCTAGTAGAAGAGCAGTGACAGAGAAGAAAAACTGTGGACAGTGATCTGGGGTGGAGTGGTGAGGCCATCTTGAGCTTTTGCAGGTGGTTGTAGACACAGTGTCTGCAGGCACAGAATGTGCCTGGAGGTTGGTGGAAATGGAGGACAGTCCTCTTTTGTCCCTGTGCCCTCCTGGGAGCCAGTCCCTATCCTCACCAACCCTGCAACCAGTGGCATCCCCCATTCCTGTGAAGCCTTTGCTCTGCCTGGGGTTGAGCTCCTGGCATTGTGCCCTTGCTCTGGAGATGCGTGAACCTGCCCTAAACTATTCTACACAAACGGTGAACCTTAAATCACGTTTACACTTCCAGTCTCTACCACACCCAGATGGTGAGTGCCTGAGAACAATCATCAATTAAATACATATACGACAGCATAGTGTTTCAGCTTACATGAAGAAACAAGACAGAGTGCCTAAAACTAATGACCAAAATAGAGGGTCAGAAAATATACCAGAAATGGTATTGGAACTACCTGATGATAAAGAATGCAAAAGAATGCTATTTAGGCATCTTCATTGGATTGAGAGAATGCTTGAGAAAACTGCAGATTGTATCAAGGAAAACAGACAAAAGAATTCAGGAAACAAACTGACAAAACTAATGAAAAAATGGGAACCATACAAAAACAGCAATTGGAAAACCATTAACATTAACACTAAGACTTCAGAAATAGATACTACACTACTGGAAGAACAGTATTCATCTGCTAGGAGAACAGTCAGAAAAAAAGAATAAAAACATATAAAGATAGATTTATGTGGGACACTGTCAAGAGGAATAATTTACGTGTGAGTAGAATTCCAAACCAGGAAGAGACAACCACAACAGCAAGAAAACAGCAGCCAAAAACCATAGAGAATATTGTCAAAGAACTGTTGGAAGAAAATTTCCCTAACATTATGAAAACAGCCAAATAATACTCCAAAAGAAAATCACCAAGATATATTGTAATCAAACTTTCAAAACCGAAGACAAGACAAGAATCCTGAGAGTAGCTCAGGAAAAATTAGTTATTTGGACAGAGAGTCAACAACAGTAGTTAACAACCAGAGACTAACATGCATGACAATATCACCTAGAACTCAATCCATATGAAGAATTATTCAAAGTAAAATTCACCAACAAGACTGAAAACAGAGAACCAGAGATTCAGATTTAACAACAACAAAACCATAAAGTAAAAAGAGGGAATAAGGTAGTAAAGAACTTCCAATGAAGAGGAACTCAAGCAGAATTCAAGAAAAAATAAAAACAGGTTTGACTGTAACCCTAAAAATTAGACCAAGATTTATTCCTAACTCTAGCTCAACCTCTCCCTGTAACAACAAAAAAAATCTGTCATGTTACCCTTTTGTAGTCATACCTATTTCCCTCCTACCTCTACCTCCTCAAGAAAAAGCATACCTTTTAAGGTATGTTTTAATGGGTTTGAAAATTATTTTGGTTGAGAGTAATTTTGGATAAATGTAAGATGGTAAACCTGTGGGAAAGATGTCTATGATGTATTATTCTATTGTTTTCTTTATTAAGCCCATCTGTGTAATTAAAAATTATTTCCTGTAGATGTTTTTAGCTGTAAGGAACCAAAACATATTCAAAATGATTAAACAAAGAGGGACTTAATTATCTCATGCTGTTAAGTGCTGTTGAGTTGCTGCCTACTCATAGAGACCCTGTATAGGATTTGAACTGTTGACAGTGAGGTTAGCAGACCAATGCTTATCCTAAAGCACCACACCAGGAGTTATTTAACTCAATAATAACAACCAATTTTTTCTCTGCCATCTTCATCCTATTGACTTTTCATGGTTACACAAAAGCTCTAGATGTTCCAAATTTTACATCACCATAATGCAACTTTCAATATCTAGACAAGAGAACAACATCTTTTTCCCCCAAGAGATCTCCCTTGAGGTGAAAATTGAGAAGGTCTCTGGCTAGAAAGAGTACCTCAGACTCTTTATTTTTATTTTTATTTTTTTTAATTTAAGGTTTTTATTGTGGATTGAATGAAAGTTTACAGGGCACATCATCAGTTTCACATTCAACAACTCATATAACTTGTTGCATTACATTGATTATAATTCCCTCCATATACCATCAGTTAAAAGTATTTCTCTTTATCCACTTTAGCTTTTTTAAAAAAACACACAAACAAAAAAACTCAATCAGGCATATATAATTAATTACATCTCCAAAGGGCACATTCTGCAAGTCTGCTCCTGGCCACCAGCTCTTAGTCCTTCTCT